TTGTCAACTTCCCTCCAAAAAACCCTCACTGCGCCCAGTCGATTCCAACTCCTTTCCCTAGACCTCTCTAATAACTTCCAGTCTAAATACATAACCGTTTTCCATTTTCAGGCACATCTGTAGCTTGGTTAAATTTACGTGTAAAGTGTAGCTCTTCTTTACACGTAAAGGTACCTATAATGTAATATATTCAATTCCTAGGTTGGTGGTTCAAACCCACCAGGGGCTCCAGGTAGGAAGATGAGGCAATCTACTCGCATAAAGACTGACAGCCTTGGAGACCCAATGGGGGTGCGGATGATTCGGAATCGACTTCAGAGCAGTGAGTTTGGTTTTAAGTGATGGACACTATTTTTTAAGCATTTCTCCCTCTTGTCTCCCCTCACTGCCCCCTGCATGTTTGTGCCGGCTTTGTGCTCCCACTCCCACCTCCCCCATCACCCCTGTGACCACATGTGCCTGACAGAGAGAGAATATCCAGGTGGCCTGGTGCTTGGAAACTTGTCAGATGTTATTCAAAGCAATAAAGCACACGTCATACAAGTCTTTGGTATATAGTTACAGCGGAACCCTGTTTAGAATTCACTAATTGGGAATTTGTGATAATTTGAGGAAGGGCTGGCTGAAGTTAACCTTTGTACTATCTACAGGGGGAGAGAAAGAGGGAGAAAAAAAAAAGAGTTCCCTGAAGTTCTGAATAGTGTAAACAAGATTGGAAGTGGCATGATTATCTGCTTAAAAGAACCAGTTGTCTTGAAAAGCTTTAGAAGTATCCTTTTACATACAAACAGGGTAATTATGATTTAAACAAAGGCTGGCCTGTTTCTTAGGCTTCTTTGAAATGTCAATTAGGAATTACTGTGGTCTATTCACCGAGGCAAAACCCACCCCTGTGGACCAGGCAACAGTTGGTTAGCTTGCTTTCACTTACTGTATTAGCAAATAATCAACCTGGAGTTCTTTTAAAGTAGTGTAAGTTCATTCAAGCTTTTCACTAGACAGTTGGTCCATCCCCTAGTCTAAGCCAGCGTTGACTAATTACCAGCAGACAACAATCAGGAATGCAGGGAGGGCCTCCAAGCTTTCACTGACTTAGTGTTGTGGCTGGCTAATAGGGGGAGACCTACAAAGAAAACCGCTCTGGAGCAGTGGCTTTTTGTTTTTTATCTTACCCTGCAGTGAGAAACACAGTTTGCATTGCAACCCAGAAAACTCACACGAAAACAAAAACAATACTTACCCTTGTTATGTGTGATGCACTCTGTTATTTTCCATTTATGTTTTCAGAGATGCTAGTCACAAGCCACTAAATTGACTTCACAATCTATTAAAGGGTCGCCGGTGGGAAATAGTCCTCTAGAATCTGGTGGGCGATAGTATTCCTTCATAATAGAAAGGGGTGGCAGCAGAGAAGAGCCAGAAGTTGCTGTCTGGTTTGCTTGATGATGCCCAGCTTGGTGCAGCTCCTGCTGGGGGCACCAGCCCCGGGATGGAGCAGGGTGACCCACTCACAAGAGTTCTCACTCACTTGCTGACACTTTCTGAAATCCCATTCACTCCCATTCTCACTCTCTCACCCTTGAACACCAACCCCCCTCCTGTAGTCACTATCGCCCCTGTTATTTCTCAGCAGTCAGTGCTAAGCTCATTCCTACCGTCATCCACCCTTCTGTTTAGTGTAGCCCACCCTTGGTGTCTGCCTGACGTACACTAGGGCTGGCCAGTTGCACCCATCTACTGCAGAGGTTGCAAGTGATACTTTAAGGCCTCGTAAAATACTTACCTCAGTGCCTGGCAAGCACTCATTAAATATTATCTATTGTCATTATTGTAATTATTGTTGCTGTTATTACTGGTTTAGTTTTAATCTATTGGTTCATCTCTTCTCCCATCAAAACCACATCACCCTATCCTGGCTTAGAGTTTGAGGCTTTCTACCCCTAATCCTTCTCCAAACACTTCCTCTGTCTATACCCTCATTCTTGGCTGTATCTATCTCAATGGGACACTTCCCTGCATCCCAGTTCTCCTGCATCCCCGTTCCTGATAGAATTGTGATACTTGACATAGGTGAATGTTGCCACTGAGCTCAGTTCTGATACTTAGCTACATGGAGTGACTACACATAGGAGGCAAGCCCAAGAAGCCAATGGTTCACCTCAAGCAAGCCACCCAGACAGGTTACAGTATTGTACCACAAGAACCAGAAGCGGCCTAGGCTTGTCTCATGCAGCAAAGAGGGACTGAGGCGGAGACTGTTAGCAGCCCAAGGGCCCCACTCTGACTAGTCATACCAGGCTTTGCATAAAAACAACTTTGCAGCCGAAGCTAGTGTCTGCAGCTCTAGTTTCATGAACTATATCCCACCTTACAAGGTCGGTTCCTCACTCATTAGTCCAGTTCCCACATACCTATTGCTCTTCATCCTACCATGTCTTTGCCTTATCTCTTTGACTTGGTGTCATTCCCTCTTAGCTCTGGATATCCTCCCAGCCATGTTTCGGCCTCTGTTTTGTGGTTTAATGTACTTACAGATTACCCTGGTTAATCCCTCCAGACATATAGCCCCTGGTTCAACTCGACCCTTCTTCCTATAGGCAGTCACGTCCTACCTGCCAATTCTAGACTGTTCTAGCCTTGTGGATGAAACCAAGAAAGGGAGACGTCTTTGGTAGAAATGACTCTTGGGGTAATATTGGCATTGGTTAGCACCGTTGGGACATAGGCCCTTACATTGTTATCTGAAAGTGAGTCATGGTCCTCATTTTACCACAGACCCGGGAAGGTTGATGCTTGGACATGATTTATGGCAGTGTGGGAGGTGCTAGTTAGCTTCCCTTGAAATCAGTGTGTCTCATCTTCAGAGAATAATGGCTACAGTGATAATAATTAAGAGTTTATATTCTGAAGCCAGATGACTCAGCTTGCAATCCTACTTCTGTGACGTCCTATGTTTTGAGTTTGTTTTCTTTGGTTCTGTTTAGATAAACAGGATAATTTAAACATCAACTTGATCATATCCAACTAGACATATCAGAATCATTCACTAAGTTTTGGATATTGGGTCCCTGCTGCGCTTCCTCTGCCTCTGCTCTACCAAGCTCCTCCTCCTTGCATTCATGAACCTTCTGTATACTCACTCAATGGCATTTGTCATCTGCTGTGATGTCTGGCACTATGCTGGACCACAGAGGTACAAAGGCAACAAATCATGGATGCTACCTTTAAGGGTAGGTAAATATAGGTAAGGGATGGAAAGAGACTTATAAACAAATTCATTAAAAATACTAAGAGTGCTGAGGTAGAGAACTTTTTGGGGTACACTGGGGCATGAGGGAGGGCATAGTGAGTTCTGTCTAAGCTGAAGGAGGAAAAAGCTGATGACTGAACTGAATCTTGACATTTTCTGCAGCCTCCTGAAGCAATTTGAGTAAGTTAGAGTCCCCACAAGTAGCCTAAGAAATGTCACCCCAAGTTCTAGAGACGAGTGGCCTGGTTCAAATGATTGGGGCTCCCACAATGCCCCCAGGCAGGTCTCCTTGTTGAGCTCAGTTAATGACTTCTGAGCCCAGTCGCAGCTCTCTAGTTTCTCTGCCCATCCTCTCCCTGTCTCCCCTGAAAGCCTCAGTCCTTCGTAATAGGCTTCAGTTCCAATCATATATGGTACCCAAATCCTTCCCCAAGACTTAAGTCCTTCTCTGAACTCTGCCCCAGTAGCGAGAGTTGGGCTGCTTTATGTCATCCTTGCCGGCTCTTCTCTGGGAGCTGGGCCTTGTCTTACATCCCAGCTGCTCTTCTGCCATCCACAGAAGCATATGCAGAATGGCCCCACCCATCCACCTGGGCCTGCCTGAGTTCCCTAGAGCTGGCGTTCCCCCTTAACTGGAAAACCCAGCCCCAACTATGCCTGGATTGTGGCTAACTTGCCAGCCCACAGCCCAGCCACCCTCTGGTTCATACTGCCTTCCCTCCCTGGTCTAGTCTAGGAATCGGGTCTTATTCCAGCTTCTCTATCTCCTCCTCCTCCCCAGCCCTTAGTTGACACATGTGTAGCAATACAGTCCCCGTGGAGTCACCTGAAAACATGACACTCGACTCGATGGCACTTAACAACAACAACAACAACAGAGGGGATGGGCAAATCTATTCCAACTAACTCACCCCTAACTCACCATCAAGTCAATTCCGAGTCACGGCAACCCCATGTGTTACAGAGTAGAACTGGTTCATAGGGCTTTTTTTGAGGGGAAATGGGGGGTGTTTTAATCTTTATGGGGGTGCTTTAATCTTTATCACCAGGCCTTCCTACCATGGCACCATTGGGTAGGTTCAAACTACCAACCTTTGAGTTAGTAACAACAACAAACAACCACTTCAGTGGAGTCGGATCCGACTCATAGTGGCCCCTCCTTGGGTTTCTGAGGCGGTATCACTACGGAAGTAGATTGCCCAGCCTTCCTTCCGGGGAGTGGCTGGTGGGTTTGAACCTCCAGCCTCTGGTTAGCAGGCAAGTGTCTTAGGCACTCTGCCATCAGAGCTCCCTTTTAAGTCAGTAGTTGAGCACAAACTGTTTGTGCCACCTAAGACCTTTCTATTCCAACTAACTTCACCCAGTTCGTTCTTTCAGTTGGATAATCAAAATACGAGTAAATTAAAATCATTTCTCAACATAAATAATATATTTTCAAAGAGGTTCTATATTTGTACTGCAGACATAAACAAAATACATGCATTCGAGGCATAAAATATCTGCCTTGTGCTCTTCTGAGTAAAAATCACAGTGGATGCAGATTTTTAATGTTCCAGCGGTGCCAGAAATGAATTCATTCACCTGTTTTTGGACAAAGACTTGTCTGAAATTTTACCTCTTGGGTTCCAAGTGCATTTGTTGTTAATTGAGAGATTTCATTGTAAAAGCCTCCTCTCCTAGAGTTCTGATGGTTTCTTGTGTCTTATTTATCTTTCATTTGGCTTCAAGTAAGGTGAAGAGTTGGTAAAACTTAAAATTTACTGAATTTTGTATTAATGTCAGGCACAGCATTTTCCTCTTGAGGATCTCCCTTCTGTGGGGTTGCTACTGAAGGGTTTGGAAGGAAGTGACGTGTCAACCATTCATTGGTTCTTATGGCTTTGCAGTGGAGGCAGGGCCTTTCCCTGATTTGGTGACTTCCCAGATTCTTTTGCCTCTGGACTATTTTCCTCCTCTTGATACTGGCTGGTGATGGCTGCTGTTCACTGGCACTCTCTTTCCATGAAGAGGGTCCTGAGTCTGACTCTTCACTGTCACACTCAGTAGTATCACTTTCAGGTTGGATCTGATCCCTCTGGTTGAGTTGAGAATCGCACCTGGCTCGTCTTTGTTCAAGATAGGCATTGACCAACGCCACTTCTGAGTCACTGACAGGGGCCAGTTGGATATGCTTTGCTTTCTTCATCATTTGTAGAGCGTCCCAGAGAGCATCTTTATGGTGCTGCTTATAGGACGCATCTTTGCTTGCTAAAAAACCAACAGAACAGATCAACAGGTTAGGCATCCTGTTGGCTATTATAACACCCTATGACCTAAGGAAACCTAGGGGACATGTGGGCTGATGCATCCTGGCCAGTTGCCAAGCCACCACTTTTCTCCAGTCATTTGCAGCATCGTCAACTGATGCATCGTCCGGGTACCACACCTCATCTCCTGCAGACCAGAAGGGTCAGATAGGGGATTGCTATATTACTTCAGAAGTTATGTAGACCCCTGACATAAGATTAAGGGAAAAGGTCTCTCCACTTTTCCAGAAGTTTTTTTTGTTTTTGTTTTTGTTTTTTCGTTTTCCTTTGCTCTGAAGTTTTGAGGATTCAAGTGTCAAGAATATGATTTAGGTGGCAGAAAGGTAAAAAGGATCTTTCTCCATGCAGTGGTGTGCTGGAGCTGGCTCAAACCAGCTCACAAGAGACGGGGGTAAATTTCAGGGATTTTACAAGACAGTTGTTAAACCGTTGTTATTAAAATCAAATTATAAAGAACTATAACAAATTACATTGAATTATACAAACTTACAATTAAATTAATTTATAAAAATAAAGTTAATATACTCAAAACCTGTCACTTCCTAATGATTTTACTATGTCCCATTATGATTTATGCTCTTGAGGTTTATTGCATTGTATCTGGATGGTGGAAATACTGCACAATGGTGCACGTCTTCCCAACTCCATGTCCAGAAACATGTTGGTAGCTTGAAATCTGCCTTGGTGGGCCTACTTAACCCACAAAATATCAGTAAGCACTCAAAATCAGGGCTTGATTTGTGATTCCATTGATTGTCTAGGCTCAAGTGATGGAGACCATGTTATTAGTGCAGATGACATTTTAAAATAGTGTAGCCCTGACTTGTGAGAAGCACACACACAAAAATAAGGAACTATTCTTCCAGTACTCTAAAACTTGAGATGGATTGACACAGTGGCTGTGGTGGTTAAGTTTGTGTGTCAGCTTGGCTAGGCCTGGTTGAGTGG